GGGCCAGAGAGCACACGGAGGGCAGCGAATCGGGGCCAGAGAGCACACGGAGGGCAGCGAATCAGGAGTTAGAGAGCACAAGTAGGGCAGCAAAGGTAGAGGAGAGGTACCTGTAGTCCAGGGTACAGAAGCCCGCTCAGTAAGGGGTGCTCCACCTGCTTCACCACCTCCGCTCCTGCCTTCTTGGCGTCATGCTGAGTGACCATGGACGACAGCCTGTACACATCCAGAGTGTACTCCCTGAGGACAACAGGACAGGACTGTCGCATACCGGGCAGAGCAGCACACACTTACCAATTGCAGAAAAAAGCCCAGTCTCGACCCACTGAAGAGGCTCCGTTTAATTTCTTCTCCCCAGTCAGTTCTTCAGACAGCTCTTTATTTTAAACTCACCAACATCAAGACAATGACTTTCTTACGCCATGTTCATCAAAGTTCAAAGATGATTCCTGTCTTAACTGTTCTATATTTAAGGAATCAGATCATTTATCAGTATTTGCTTACAGTTTTAACTTTACTGCTTAGCCATCTGCTGTATTAGTTTAGCAGGTTTATTTCTGTATACAGAATCCTCCCCAAGGTGACTACACTAAGCAAAACACGCCCTGGATGACAGACATCAAAGCTTTACTTTGTGACCATGCGCATCTCCACAACGCCCTGCATGTAGACGACACACACAGAACCTCACCTGCTGAGCTGGTAGTCCGTGCCCCTGATGAACTTGAGCTTGTCCAGTGGCACGCCGATGCTCTCCAGCATGGCCTTGATCACCTGCTCGTAATACTTCGTCCTGAGCTCCAGCAGCTCCCATGGGGCCTTCATGTTGTCCAGGTAAGCGTGCAGGTCAGCAAACAGGATGGTCACCTGCAGGGAGACAGCACAGCTCAGGGTCCAGGCTCTGTCAGATTGTCCAGAAATGCCAGCTGCTGCCCTCTTCAGTTAAAAGCACACATCCTGGCGCCTGTATCTTAAACTGGTTAAACCACTTCCACATCTTGGCCACCCTTTAGGACAAATCTGTCATGAATACACTGTGGCAAAGTCACCCAAGACTGATCTTTTATTCTCTCCTGATGAATTGACCTGATGTCTCTTTAAGGGACGACTGGCCTAGCCTTTCTCTCCGACATTTATAATGAAAGTTATTTTCGCCAAACTTGGCTTAAACGGTATTTCAACAAGACAAAAGTTAAAATGTACATGTACACCTTAAAAACAAACCAGGTTTTAATTACTCGATTTCATAGTCTTCTCTCAAAACAGCGTTCCTCAATCCCACAGCGAGCTGCCAGTTTCTGTAGCTTTTCCTTTTTGAGCTCTGACTCAACTTCATCAACTAATGGCTTAAGTTAATCAATTACTAACTTAACTGGTGTTCAATTCCATCATTTCCAGAACTTCACCAATGCCGGGGACCACAGCTTTGGGGGACAGCTCACCTGAGACCCCGTAAGAATAAAAGCTCCTTCACTCACCTCACACCCCGCCTTCAAGAAGTCGGCGATTTTGGACATGGGCACGAAGTAGGCCACATGAGGCTTGCCTGTGGTGGCAGTGCCCCAGTACACCTTCAGCTCCCTCTCCTGCAGCACAGATTTCAGCTTCTCCTCTCCCAGCACCTCCTGGAACACAAGGACATTGTGGACGGTCACCAGCAAGAGGAAGCACTGTCTCGCCGGGACGCCGAGTGTCTCGCGCAGATGGGTCTGGACACACACTCTTGACGAGAGTACAATAAACCTTCATGAGAAGTGAGGTTCAAGCAGGCCACGAGAGTCCAACACGTCGCCCCTCTGATCTGCCTGGCCTGCTAATCTCTTTCATGCACCCCTTTGAAATATTGACCACTCAGATCTCCTTTTAAGCTCTTTCAGTCTGTATTCACACTTCATGCACACAACTAGCCTTCACAGTGTGCTCTTTGCAGAACACTTCCTGGTTCGCAGTTTAGTTTGTCATATGCACATGTGTAATGAAATGCTTATTTGTATGTATGCTCCAATAGAAAGACATTAAAGGAGTCACTAAAAACATAAATGAAGAACAGCAGCAACAACAACAAGTTAAATTACATACAACTTTATAAAAAAAATCACAGTTTAGCACAGTTTACTGTGGCCCTGATCTCTGTTGAACAGGGTCAGCCAGTGTAAGTCTGTAAAATAGCTCGGACTCATACCTGCAGATTCCTGGTAATGAGGTGGTACTTTTCATCTGGACTCAGCTGCTCTCCCATTGTTTAGTATTCTTCTTCCTGCACACTGGGGAAGACGGAGAGAGAGGGGGGTGGTTTCTGGTACAATAGCGAAATGACTAAAGCGGACGCCAGCACTTTTAATACAGTGCCTTTCATACTCTCTAAACATGAGCTTTTTATTCTTATTTTGTTTTGATAAACACGAGCACGTGCAAATATGGACTTTCAAAACCGGTACGTTTTCGTATAGGATAAATGATAAAGATCATTCCTAAGACAGGCAACTGCGAATCTCCTTTGACTTCTTTGGTCTAAAGACACTTTGTGAAAGAAACTATTGGATCGATGGCGGATAGAAAACTTAATATCCGAGGCGATTATAGTTATAGTTCTCATCACCCCTGACGATCTGTGGTGGGTTTTTTTGGCATTCGAAAGAGCTGTGCTTATCTCAGGCCAGTGACATAATACTTAGGCCACATACAGTATACCCAAGCAGGCAGACAGATACCAAAAATCCGCAGTCATATTATTTTCTACTTTGAAGAATCTCAAACAGGCGGGTCGACTCACAAAAAAAAAAAAGCCAAATTACTGTTGTTCATCTCGTTGTTTCTAGATTAATACAGCACAGCCTGGGTGTAGGAGTAATTGAAAACCATAATTATTCGCCGCATCCGTATAAGTATGAAAGGAATGAAACCTTTACATATTTCTCAACAACATAAAAAAACACAGTAATCCGTAATTACTCAGCAACAGAACTAGACCTGTGTAAAATGAATGAGTCCTACACAGTGCTCGACGTTTCAGGATATCGGCACCATCCAGATCACAGGAAACGATATAAAACAGATGATCAATAACGCAGGAAAATGTGGTCAAAACGGCCCCGTGGATAAATATAAAAAGTGGATATGTCTTACCGGTGTCGATTCTAAAAGCAGGAAACGCCTCAGCGCAGAGCCAGCCTCACCGCACGCTCCTGTGTCAATGTGTTGCATCAGCGTTAGGAAGAATCTCTGGGATCGGACACAAAACCTGGCAGGAAAAAGTAATCGAACCTCAATAGAATCGATTTCGGCTGTGCGCGCTGTGATGCTCTGCAAGCGAAAGTCGCGTTACTCTGAATCTGGTTTTTACCGGGGTGATATGGACTGACGTTTTAAGCGAAAAGCAGACGTTTCACACCCAGTCTATCATTGTGTAAAAATCTACACTATCGCTGTATTTGGTTGGACAGCTTACAGTCAACCTGTAACCCTGCTTTTAGTTAATAAGTCGTAACAAGAGCTCCAGTATTTTGTACCAAAGGTTTATATTAAGTGTAACTATAGTTCAATATAACTATTGAACAGAAAAAGGTTTAAAGATGGGATCGTCCGGCCAGAAAACATCTGATGTCTTGCTCCGTTAAACGTAGTTTGAATCACTAAACGTATACTTTCTTTTTAGAATACTTTTGTAAAGTACTGTGTAAAAGGACAGTAGTAAACTCATAAAATACACAGCCATATATCAACTGGTAGCGTGCTTTAAACTTTTTCAGATTACTTTTTTTTAAATACAAGAAAATGTCGCTAGTTAAAAAAATTATTTCATCCTCACCTCTAGTGCCTACTGGGCTGGCAGTGACTTAATTCAGCTGATCACTAGTTTAACTGGATCCATCTTCCGTCAAGCAAGGTCTGCTGTTGCTCCGATTTAAAGGCCAGAAATTGCGAATTATGTTTATTGTGAAATATGAGCAATCAGAAATCTGTTTACCCTGCTCGACACCACGCATTGTTTTACAGTTTTGTTTTAATGTTTTAAGACATTTTGGCTAAATGAATGGGCCGAAAATGTTAACAGTCACAATCTGTCCAAGTCGTTAACAGTTGTGTCCTCGGGCGAGGCGTTTTTGAATTAATCGTCAACTACTACCGTGTCCTACAATTCTCTCAGCTCTGAACAGGTCATTTCGTATCATAAGTGTGTTAAACAACGCGTGAGAATTAATTTGGTACTAACTAGGAGCAGGTGTCAGCGCTTGCTGCAGCCAGTATATATATCTGACATGGCTCAGCATCAAGCTATCCTATGTTCAAATTTTATTAAGGAGTCGTTTTTCGGAACCGTACAGTTATACGACCGCGTATGCCCTATAGTTGTGCGTTTTCAACAATGAAGTCACTTGTACTAGGTTTCTACCTCGCGGGGATGCTTTTTCCCGGTGTTTTTTCGGGGCCGATCGAAACGACGCGGGGTCTACTAGCGCCCCAAACAACCGCTCCTCCGCCCCCCGGCTCGGGCGACTCATCGACCCAGGACACGTCGCGGCTCGACCAGCTTGACGCGCCCGGGAGCTCATCTCTGCCGGGCGCGCTGCTCAGCCGCTCCAAGTCCGGACGGTCCGGGAAAGGTTCCGTGCGGGATGTGTCGGTGAGCTGCAGGGAGTCTGAGATGGTGGTGAGAGTGAGAAAGGACTTCTACGGCTTCGGGTATCGTGACGCGCGGCTGACCCTGGGTCCTGACTGCCAGCCCAGTAGCCTGGACGAGGATACGGGGGACCTGCTCTTCAAATACAACCTCCTCGACTGCGGCAGTCGAAGACTAGTAAGTCGCTCGATCAATTTAAAAAAAAAGAAAGGCCACCTAAGTGCTCAGTAACTCTTCAAGCTTGGCTTCCTTATTCCAGATGCCACCGGGCTACGTTGTTTATAAGAACTTCCTCCATTATATCCCGAATCAACGCGCAGCAGCAGCCCGCGGGCTACCGCGTATCAACGTTGAGATCGAGTGCTACTATTCTAGGTAAGAGTTCATGAATTGGGCTTTTTTTAAAAAAAAAAAGACCTCTTGACGCCACAAGCTAACTCTCTCTCTCTCTCTCTCCTTTCCAACAGAAAAAACGATGACGTCTCCTTTGAATCCAGCAAAGACGACACGGTCTTTGATTTAAAACTGATGAATGGTAAGCTCAACACTAGTTTGTTTCCAGAGCTGTCCCATTCTCCTAATGCAAGAGTCTTTCTTGTTCTCGACAGATGCTTGGACTGCAGTTTCCAAGACCAACATCTATAACTCTGGAGACCAACTTCATGTCCAGGCATCGTGTTATCCTGCCTTTGATGGAGAAAAGCTTTTCATTAATCACTGCTTTACAACCCTTTCTGGCCACCCAAAGCCCACTCCACAGTACATCCTGGTTGACAACTTGGGGTAAAGTCCCTTAACTGCACATAGTGCCTAAACCGGTTTTGATTAACTGTCCAAATTACCTACATCTTTTTTTTTTTTCCTTCCCAATTCTATTTCAGCTGTGCCAATAACAGGATGGGAGCCAAGTTTGTTTCCCCTAGAGCCGACGATGCAATTAACCTTGCCTTTGATACAACGCCCCTTAAGGATATGGAGGTACATGAGAATGGAACTTGCCCCCAAAACAATGTTGGCATAACCTTGCTCTTTGTACCGAGAGACTCGAATCCCTGAATCCTGAACCTGTCTTCTAGATCTACCTGCACTGCTCCATGTTCTTGTCTACTCCAGAGACCACAGAGGGTTCCAAGTCCTGTAATTATTGTGCAGCTACAAAAAGGTCAGTTGAGGGGCTTTGCTTTTCCAAGGCTTGCACAAGAGCTCCATCTAGTGGGGGGGTGGAGAAAGTGGCTTCCCCTGGATTGGAAGTGCTTTTGAGGCATAGGTATTTTGATCTGAGAGACTGGCGGTTTTTCTTGACTTCAAAGCTACCTTTGATGTAAAGAGATGCAGGCCTATTTCCTGTTTCAATCTCAAATTGAGACCATGTTCAAAACTAGTTTCTGAGCTGCCAAGGTTCATAGGGCCTTTAGTCCAGGCACACTTGGTGTTCATTCCGTATTCTCTAAGGGGTTATTCTCTTCTGTAGGTGGAAAGACATTGGACAGGTGGCTGATGGCGTATGTGACTGCTGTAACTCTAATTGCACTGCTAAGATGAAGACCAACTTACCTCGAGGTATCTTTTTATTTTTTTAATCCAGTGTCTAATTGATTTTTGTAACTACTCACTCAAAGAACTAACCCTTCCGTCTTTCTCTAGATCTTAAGAGCCTTGGCCCCATAGTGATAAAGGGAGCTTCTCGCAGTAGGGGAGCTGGACTGTTTCCTGGGGCTGAAATTCTCTGGTTTCAGGCAAAAGGTGGGGATCATGGTCAAGGGCATAAACAAGACTTCCAACTGGATGAGGAAGATAGCAGTGGTGATGCTGAGGAGGATGAAGGAAGTGAGAGTGATTTTGGAGAGGAAGATAGCAGCAGTGGTGGTGATGCTGAGGAGGATGAAGGAAGTGAGGGTGATTTTGGAGAGGAAGATAGCAGTGGTGATGCTGAGGAGGATGAAGGAAGTGAGAGTGATGGTGATGATGAGAAGGAAGATTCTGAAGGGGATGAGGAGGATGAAACTGGGGATGAAGAAGAAGAGGAGGAGGAGGAGGAGGAGGATGATGAGTGGGCTTTAACTACAGAGCAGCCTGAAAGTGACCCAGATACACCTGCAGCAGACCAGCATACCACCCCTGCTGGTGTGGGGACTCGGATGCCCTCTCCTCCAGCAGCGGTAGTAGTGAGCTCTTCACCACCAGTGCAGACCACAATGAAGGCTAATGTCACTCTGAGCCCAGGGCCTCTGCTGCAGGAAGCTGACAACGGCACGTCCCCATCCCCAACCTCGCAAGAACGGCCAGAGCTGCTGTCTGAGGAGGATTATGAGGATTCTGAGGAGTTTGGGCTTGAGGAGGACTATGAGAGTGGTGATGACCTGGCTGAGCCTCAGTCTGACCAGGCTGTGCTCGCGCCAGGTACGCTAGCCCGTGAAGATGGTGTCCCTTTGTCCTTGACTCCCTCTGGTGTTGAAGGAGCTCAGAAAGGGGATGACGAACACAAGGCCATGATGTCACAGTAGCCTCTTCCATTTGGCAAAGAAGGCTAGTGTATTCCTGTGGAGGGACTTTACCTCCTGCCTCTGCAGCTGGGATGAATGATTGCAGTAGGTGCGAAACTGATCTGTAAGGCCTGTAATTTTGCAAAATAAAAGTCAGTCTTGATGGGGTTTCTTTTTTTCAGATGGTTTTGACTGCTTTTCTTTTGGTCTTCTTAGCGCCCCCCTCCCCCGTGCACATTATACTGCATTAGTATAGGAAAATAATCAACATCTATACTGTATTGTGCAGGGTTTAAAAAAAAAAAAAGGGGAGTGCCTGTAGCGGGGAAATCAGTTGCTTGAGAGTTACTATTACTCAACAGTCTTAAAGCTACAGTATTGATCATACTCTTTAATGCCCAAATACAACAAACAGAAAATATTTTTGTAGGCTTTTACAAAAAAAGAGCACAAAATGCTCCAGGGGATAGGATTATGTGAAGGTATATTTTTCCATTAAAACACTGTAGAGTGCTGGTAATACCATGTTCCTTCCTTTACCTGGATCCCCTTTCTTCCTGTTGGGCTGGATTACTACAGGCTGGAGGAAAGAGGAGGCTGCTGAGGGGATGGCATGATTGTTGTAGTGGTCCTGAAAGCAGGCTCACTTCAAGAACCCAGTAAACTTCACTAGTGTCTCCAGCAGGTGTGAAGAAGCCATGCAAAATTCATTTAGGAGCCCCCATCTCCAGCACTCATCTCCCTACTGCCCATCCCCTAGACTCATACAGGCACAGTCTGCCTCCATCTTTAAAGATGAATAGAAATCAAATGGGCTTTGTATGTATGTGGCTTTCATTGTCCTTGAAACAACATGGAAGCAATAGTGTGACTAAGTGTGTTGTATCAAATTATAGCCTTTGGAGTCTGTTTTCCAGTTGATGTGAAGAGATGGGTATGCAATGCATTGAAATGCTCTGCTCCTCCTGTGGGAATGGCCTGGGCAGGGGCTATGACCCCTGGAATGAGCTTGAACAGAGTTTGGCTTCATGGGAGCTGCCCTCTGCAGATCTAGTGTCTGTTCGTTCTTGGCATGTCTCTCTTGTAGATACATCTGTCTGCCTCAGTGTGCTAGAAAATGCCGTTACAATGAAAGGACTATATGAGACTGTTGTGAGTCACAATCTGACCAACATCGATCAGAGCTCACGCAGGGAGGCTGCTCATCTTTTGGGGCTGCCTCTTTTGACCAAAACAACTTGAATACACAACTGTTTATACAATGGAGCATTTAATTGGAACAATTCAGGTAAAGTAGCTCACTCAAGGGTGTAGCAGCAGTATCGCAGCTGGGATTTCAACCCACAACCTTCCATTTATAACGCTAGAGCCCTTAACACTGCCCCACTAGAACAAAGCTGTGAGCGGCTCTGCTGAAATGCTCTCTTCAGTTTTAGCTTCTCCTGATGGCAACAACCTATTGGATCCGACATTGTACTGTATATGTCTTCTGCAAGATGAGTTTCTCTCAGTGAGTAGAGAAGATGTTCCAGAGATCAACTGGTAAAGTAACGGGTCAGCTCTTTAAGAGCTCACCATGCAAGGCCCAGGAACGATTTGCAAACCTTGATATGCGATGCACAGTAAGAATGATTACAGAGTGACCTCTGGTTACATTGTGGTGATGCTTGCAGAAAGAATCTGTCTCTATCAGTTCGTTTTCTCGGCTTAATGATCTGTTCCACACTCTGTCACTGGTGCGAACTGGGCTTTTCCAACCGTAGCCTATATGAAGTACAGAAGGGGGAGCACGTGTGAAGAAGGACGTCAGGCGTGCTTTTTCAGCAGTTCCACTTCAACTGTGCACTTGGGCAGACATGAATGGGGGGGGGGGTTAGTTGTTGTGTTTCAAGCAATTAAGATCTCTCCATGCTTTCAAATTTTCCTAGGGTATTTGTAAATCTGAGGATTTTATTAGGTGCAGTGTTCATCAGAAGAAGAAATAAATGGGCATGACTCAAACAAACAAGCTTTTCAACGTTTGCGCCTCTCAAGAATCTTCTGCTTGTACAGGATGATCCAGTTGGTAGTGCTGTGCGCTGAGAATTGTAACTACAGGCTGAAGATGTTGCATCAACCTATCCATTCTTTGTGTTTTTTCTATCAACTTTGACTCATGTCTTGGCTTAACTAGATTTCTAAGCTTATTTTCCTTTAGGATAATGGTGAACATTCCTATCATTATAATTAAATTTCACAGAATAGAGTGGTAAAACAAGGAACTACATAGATTTATTAATAGATAATTGCATTGGAAAGTATAACCAATGTGTGTGGAGGTCAGAGAAGGAGTCACTGTTAATGAAACCTATTCTTTTTACAGAATACAAAATACAAGGGGATATGTCCTCCTTAATTTCTACTGGACAGAACCAATAGCCCATTAAGGCTAGATAGAATTAGAAAAAGATATTATATTACATGTCCCATATCCATTGTTGGAATGAAACTGGCTGCATTTGACATGAACATAATTGGCTTTTTTCTGGGGCCAATCTCACGCCATGGATCAGTGTCACCTGGCTCTCATATGTCAATGAGCAGTGAAATCTGCAGGTGTAGGTATGAAGGCAATTGAATTGAAGTGTGTTTAATCTATTAAATACCACATGTTGCGACTGGAGCCAATATGAGGCAGCCTCGAATTAGTCTTTAATCTACAGCTACAATTGTCCCATTGTTAATCCAGTGTCGATCGTTTTGGGTAAAACCAGATCTGTTTTGAGCTCCATTAGCACTAATGCTGAGCACATGGGGCCTTGATTGTCTTCTGCTATAAATCCAGCCATTTCCTTCTGCCAACTCATTGGATTTTCCTGCCTTAGCCTTTCTTTTTTTTGTTGTTCCTGTTTCACTTCCTCATTGCTGCTTTTTCCCCTCTCTTCTGCCCAAATGTGGCTGTTTGTGTTTTGTCTCTGCTTTGC